AAAAAAAAAAAAAAAAAAAAAAAAAAAAAAAAAAAAGGAAAGAAAAAAGAAAAAAAAAATTCTGTTGCATCTAGGCCTGGGTGACAGTTGGCTGCAGCCAAGTGCAACCCACCATTGAATCCGCCCACGATTCAGACTTACAAAATTTAACTCCAAACCATTAAACTTTTAGTAAATTAAGTGGTCGATCGCTTGATGTTGCCCAAGTTTCTGACTCATATACCAGAAGGAACTGTCAAGTAATCAACGTTGAGCATGGATCCATGTCATCGTCATTATGAGCCAGAGAAACCCAAATATTTTGCTGTTCATTTTCTTTCTAGCCCCTTTTTTTTGCATATTTATCTTCTGAAGCATCCTCACTAACCATCGTTGATGAGCTCGAATAAGACATAGAACGACCCCTTTAAGCTTGTCATCTGAATAACCTTCGAATTCATCCCCCTAGTTTGATCTGGTGAATACAAAAGTGGGAGGAAGGGAGAATGGGGAGGAAAAGAAGTGAAGTTTTAAGGGTGGGGAGAATTTTGGGATTGTGGGTCGTACAAATAAAATGTTCGAATTATGATTGCAATTAGTTCTTTGTTTTTCTTCTCCTTCTCCATTTTTTTTCTTGAATACGAGGATATATTCATCATTTTCAATTTTTGTATTGAGAAAATAGATGGGAGGGATTTTTCTCACAAATTTCAATCTATCATTGTTTAGTAGGTAGGAGTTTTTCCCTTTTAATTTTCCGCATTTTTCTCTTTTTATTGAAATTTAACAGCAAGATGGTTGGAGGCTAATGGTAGATAGTATTCTGTACAAAACGTTTCAAACAGGAACGTTTTGTTTTGTGCTGTTTCCAAAAGGTACGGGATTTTCGACAATTTGAGTAATGAATGGTAGTATTGTGCTATTAAACCTTTTAGACATGCAAATTTAATATTAAAGTTTATTAGTTATGCAAGTGTGCATTATTGTTAATAATTATTTTGTATTTTATTTAAAAATATAAATAAGGTAAATAAATTCAATTCTTGATTACTTAAATTAGAAAAATAAATTGAGATCGGAAGTTGGGTTGTTACTAATCAAAGTTGACAAGATTGAAAAGAATCGAGTGATGAGTGACAGATAGTGATGAACTGATGATATAATAATGATTTTCACAGGACAGATATTGCATTTACTAAAAAGTAAAATGGTGAATTATACTTTCACGTGTCCCTTTTTTCCAAATTTGATTAGAACCACCAGAGGGTGATTTTTAATCATGTCGTAAAATGTTTTTAATTTAATTTGGATTGATGATTTTTTATTTTTTTTATTTTAACGATATTGAATGGAAAAGTAACATGGTCGTAAATAATTCGATGCAATGAGTTGAATTTATACAAAAAGTATTGATACTAATTAAGAGCCCATTTGACAACTATTATTGTAGGAAAAAAGTTTTGAATAGTGATTTTTAGAAGAACGTGTCGTTAAAAGGTACGCAAAATTTTAATTAGTATATATAGAATATTTTATTACATGAATGTGTGTTTAAAAACGATTATGTAATAAACCATAAAATAAAATAATATGGGTCAAACATGCACTAACCGTCATCTTAAAATAAGCTTGTAAATCTTTGTAATCTTTCAATTTATGTTTTCCGAAAATAATCAAGAATTTCAACATCATGACATCTTTATTACAATTAATTTCTTATGTACTTAACAAGTTGCTCAGGTACTGAATTTATGAAATATTTATGTCCTAATTTATTTTATGGTTTTAAGGGCTGATCGACAAGTAACATATTTCTCATGATTAAGACCACGATGTGTAAATAAACTTAAAAATAAAGAACTGATATAGATGTAAATCTCTCGTACGCAAAGGGGACCTCACACCCTGAATTCATAAATATGACCGGCTTAAGATGTTGAGTTGTCAAAAATAATAGGAGAATTAAATGCAAAAGTAGTTTTGAAATGAATTCGATTGGTGTAAGATCACTTCCGAGTTAAGGCTTTTAATTAGTTAGCCCTGATAAAGCATCTGATCGGCTTATTTATTGAAACGGGGACATCGATAACGCGATTTAATTCATTTTTATTTTGCAGTTAGTTGTAATATTAGTTTTGAAGAACAAAAAGTGGATAGGAGGTTGCATATTATGAGGGGTGGGGGGATTTTTCAGATATTAGATATCTAATTATATATTTACAAATTTATTCAGATTTTTATCGAATAAATTAAAAATTATACAGTGTAAGGGATGGGATAATTGTGTACTTCGTTTCAACTTTTTGAAATGATTGCTGTTTCGTATATTACATACTCACGTTATTAATGTTTGTCTCGTATTTTCACACGAAAGGAACGTAATCCTACTCACTTTACATCTTTATCTATTAAAAACATGTTCAACAATTATTAAAATGAGACTTTCGGAAAAAAAAAAAAAAAGGTTTCGGAATAGTTATTTTTTTGAAAAATGTGTGATTAAAAGTAGGAAAAAAAATTAGATTTATCTGTAAAAATTTTTATTGTAATAATGAATTGAAAATGAATTTTATTTTAATGATTGTCAAATAGAGACTAAACAAGTTTATACATTTAGCACAAGTAATCCTTACTCTTGAATAGAGTATATATAAAATGACTTACTGAAAAAATAAAAAATTTAATGCCAAAAAGGGTTGAGAAAAAAAGTTTGTTTCTTAGGTTAGATCTAAGGACTTAGACACGTTTTGGTCCTCATTTTCTTCCAAATTTGTTCTTAATCACACATTTAAGTTAACGGGATTCATAAGTTTTGCTATCAACTTTCCAATCACATATATCATCAGCTTTTATCAAAAAGTTATTAAAAGTCTAATACCACATGTCCGCATCCCCAAGGATTAGACCCACTTTTTATAGGTCAAATGTATTGTAGCGTAAATAATTTTTCTCGATCATTTAAATAAAATTTAAGAGATTACTTATTGTTCTAAACAAAAATAGGATTCCGTGTAATAAGCTAATTTTTGCAAAACCAAACAGAGACTAAATTTCTTTAGATTTTTTGTATTAACATACGGGTAATTTCGTTTTTTTTCCCTCCTTTGTTGGAGAAGATGAGAATACGAAGGGAACAAAATGATATTATAAAATTATTTTAAGGACAGAAAATGTAAAATCAAAAGATGGCCAAATTGTTGAAAAGATATCGTTTCAATTATTTTAAGTTGTTAATTTTTAAAATTACTTATGTTAGTAACGCTGTCTTGTATTTTATCTATTCACTTTATTAATATTGTCTAACTTTTTCACGTGAAAAAGAACATTATGGATTAGTTGCTAATTATTTCCAACTATTTCAACTTTTGTGAAATTGAGTTCGATTATTCGACGAATTGAGCAAGTACGAAGTACATGACTCCCGACTAATTTTATTTTATTTTTATATTTAAAATTTAAAATCATATTAAAACGGAAAATGAAAAAGAAATATTTTAATCAATGTCCTGTCCTCCTTTTTGAAAACCCCTCACAGTATGCAAAAGGGGATGTCACTTACTGTTAATGTCATCCTATAACACAAAATGCACGAGACTTTAGAAATGCTGCCAGAGGTGTAAATTGTTAAGATTTGGGATCCGTCTTAATAAGGTTAACATTGTTAAGAGGAGTGACCCAAAATCTATTTAAATTGACCAATATTTCGGTATTTAACCGATGTGAAATTTATTCCCTTAACATGACCCCGCAAGATAATGATTCTTTTTGAGCAGACCAATCTTGAAATCCGTGTGCTCATTTTTGAAACTTAATCGGATCGAATAACTCGTTGAAACTTACTGGACTCTGATACCACGTTAAGATTTGGAATCCATCTTAATAAAGTCAACCTTGTTAAGAGGAGTGACCCAAGATCTATTTAAGTTGACCAATATTTCGATATTTAACCGATGTAAAATTTATTCCCTTAACATAAATTAAGGTTGGATACCTAAAACTCTTTTTAATTTTGTATTTTAATAATTAACTAAAAAAATATTAAAAAAATTTGAACCCAATATTGGTTTGTGCTTAGCCTCTCAATTTTTAGCATGAATCAAACCGATTCAAACTAGTAGAAATTGTGGATCGTGCTAAACCCACACACGACCTACACCGGGTCACATTTAAGAGGTCAATTTGAATAGTTATCGGAAACATCATGCCTTATTACAATTTCTTGATTTATTCTTTATTCTTTTTCTATTTTTTAACTAATAACTCAAAAAGTTGTGTTTTGAGTTAAGTGGACTAATTAACTTAGCCCAAATCCAAGATGTGATTGCTTGACTTAATAGACCCAATCCAATTGACATAATCAATTGCCGAGTTGGCCAATTTGGTACCGCTCTATCGTGTGAATGACAAAACTTAAAAGAAATACCAACCTCATTTTAGATGAAATATGACTCGGAATGTGATTAAGACGTAAATATGACACGTCTATCATATTGTCTAGTATAAATGATAAAAATAGGAAATTTGAAAGAACAAATTAATGAATGGAAAGATATATTGCTCCAAAAAAAATAAAAAAAAAAAATAAATAAATAAATAACAATAAAAGATGCACTTTTAAGTACGATCAAACATCTTCACGTTGGATTTGTTTCATTCTCCTCTTGCAACGATGTAGGCTTATACCTCATTCTTCCAAACAAATTTTCCACATTCCAAGAAGCATTCCGAACAATGAAATTCATAAAATTTATATAAAAGGTTGTATAAACACAAGTTCCCAAACCCATGATTTGTTGTTATATGCAAATTATAAGACAAATTGTGACATTAAAAGCCCACCTCCTTAATTCAGGAGCAGATTTAGCCATCACCTCAAGCATCATCTGTGGGATCCTGCATCAATGTACATCTGAGTTAAATTCATTTCAATTCTAGGTTTCTATTGAAATAATTTCTCATTAAACCTGTATCAAATTAAAGAAAAATCTATCAAATTAGTGCTCATCAGCATCAAATACAGACAGTTGACTCCGACTATCTTCATTTTTATATATAGTCTCGTATTGGGACAAGGAGCAAAGTTGGATTACTTGACAATTGACATTGTTGTTTGTATCAAATGCAAATGTTATCTGGGATCGAATGAAAATTCGATAGACTTGTATGAAAAGATTTTGATGTAATTTACATTAAGTTTCTAGGTATTCTACCTGCATATCTGAGGTCCAAAGAGTGAGATTGTCCCTCAAAAGTTGCATGATAAGAGTGCTGTCCTTGTACGATTCCTCGCCCAAAGTGTCCAGCTCAGCAATAGCTTCCTCAAAAGCCTAGAAATATTAAAAATCGTGAAAATAAATTACAGTGCAACTTACTTTAAAAAATTCTTGAATATATTGTTGTAAACTGAATTAAGCAGCATCTCTAAGTGGATTTCTGGGTTTGTAGACAGCTAAGAAGTGTCACGGAAGCCTTTCATCTCAACTCATAACCGGCATGGTATCAAACCTCATGGACAGTTTCCATGATGGATACAATGGTCTTTGAAAGTTCTAATTTACAAGAAAGTTAAAAACTCGCTTACCTTTTTTTTTTATACCAATTATATAGTCATGTTTCTTTATTGAGAATGTCTTGTTTTGTTTGTTTACTAATATATCCTTGTTTAATTTGCCTAGATATAATCAATTTTCCCCACTTAATATTGAAATTGTACAAATATAAATAAGGGCAAATTAGGAATGTTTTTGGCCAAAATTGCTTTTCCCAATAACATTAAATAAGATTTCTTTATTCGCGTAAAAAGCAAAACCAGCCCATATAAATGGAACAGAGGAAGTACTAATCTAATAATTTACATTTTAACGGGACCATCATAGAAAGACATAATCCACAAAATATATCCACTTCCACAAAACATTAAAAAAAATCGGTGTAATTACTGCACGTTGGCTACTTTTATGAGGTACTTTTTCTTAAATTGTTTTTAAGTTATCTATAATTTCTATAATCATGGAAAGTCATATTTAGTGCTGTATTGAGTCTGGACGGACCTGTTCCTTGGTATTTATGACCTTTCCTTTGTAGTCTTTGAAATTTTCAGACCTAAAACTGAACTAATAGGCTACCAAACCCAAAAATAGGAACAAAACGGAATAGAATCATTGATTTTAAACATCCAAGGGAAGAAACAAAGATTGCTCTGAAGTGTAAGCCATTGAAAAGGTAAAAGATAAAATTATTCAACTTGGTCGAGGGTGAGGTCGACTAACCTGTTTGGCCATGTTGCAAGCCTTCTCTGATGAATTCAGAATTTCGTAGTAGAAAACAGAGAAGTTCAACGCCAAACCCAACCGTATAGGATGCGTAGGAGAAAGATCCGCAAGTGCAATTTCCTGTTAAGAAACCAACATACGATTAAAATAGTTAATCACAATTCTTATGTTAAATTTCAAATCAAAATGTATAAGCATGAACCTTTAACGCAGCTTATCCAATCATCAACAAGCATTTTACCACTAAATGACAACGTGATAAGAACTTTGTAAGCCTCGCAAAAGTTCATAATTCATTCCAAAGAGAAAGAAAGGCATAAACACGTAACAAAAATAGTCACTCAACCAAAATATATTCCATTATGTTGTATTATCAAAGGTAATGGCTCTAGGTTCAAGTCTAACTGTCATCAATTAATGAAAAGATAATCCCGATGTGCATGTGACTAGACAAGTTGAAGATAACATTTGTTTAAATGAGTGAATCGCTTTAACTGCTTAACTAACAACTTAACTCCAGATTTTTAAACAAGGCGATTCATTTCACAAGTGATTCGAAAAGGATAAAAAAAACAATGAATTGTATTTAATTTGTAACACATAGTCTTCAAATCCTACAATCTCACGAAATTATGCCCCAATATCTCAACCCTCAATCCCAAATTCTTTTACTTTCTTATCCATTTTCAATTTAAAACACCATAAGAATGCATGAAATTAGAAATATAACAACTCTTCAACTTGTATAAATAGAGATGAAGCAAATCAAATTACTCATTTATACATATAAAGAGAGATATATACCTGAGCGGCTTTGTAAGCGACCATAGTATCCTCAGCAGCCTGCTTACGCTCATCCCCAACCTTAAACTCCGCTAAGTACCTGTAATAATCCCCCTTCATTTTGAGGTAAAAAACCTTGGACTCATTAGAAACAGCGGCGGGAATCAAATAATCATTCAGAATTTTCAAAATCCCGGCGCAAATCTCAGAAAGCTCGCCCTCGACCTTAGATCTGTAATCTTTAACGAGCGCAACGTGGTCGTCGTTCTTGCGGCTTTCCTCTTTCTGTTCAATCGACGAGACTATGCGCCAGGCGGCGCGGAGAGAGCCGATGACGTTCTTGTAAGCCACAGAGAGGAGGTTGCGCTCCTCCACCGTGAGTTCCGTTCCGGCGGCGGAGGTGACCACCAGCTTGTCCATGAACTGGACCATCTCCTCGTAGCGCTCGGCTTGCTCGGCTAGCTTAGCCATGTAAAGGTATTGTTCGCGGGTCAAAGCCATCAGAGAAGTCGAAAGATTGCGCAGTCGAGAGAGATTTGAAGTGAATTCGACTTTTTTGAGGTTGTAAGGAGGGTTCGGATATTCAATCGCGCTTCACGTAAACTGTATTTGACAGTGTTTTTTGACACGCTTACGTGGAAAATAAGAATAAAAAAAAGCCAAAAAATGGGAATTATTTAAAAATGGGCCATTATTTCCCCATTCATAACCCTCTGGCCAGAACTGAAACCCATTTCGTAACCCTAAAATCGCCACCATTGATTCCACCTAGCTAACGCCAACTATCCGACGACATAGTAACCACAATCGAAATGGTCGTCTGCACCTTCATCGGCCACTAAGTTGTTCCGTCCTCCGTCCCTATCGCGAACCAAGAGATGAAAATTTCGAAAATTTTCAGGCGCCACGGGTATTGTCATTTCCGGCATTAACCGACCACGACATAACTCGTCGAAGCGGTAAGTAATGTGAAGCTTAAAGGTTGAAATGTATGGTTTGTATTTTTCTGTTCATTGTATACGTGCTCTGTATATTATCTCTCTGCACCAAATTTTCAACATGTAATTTTCATTCAATAATTTGAGAAGAAATGGCAGAGAAACTTTGATTTACACCCCACAAGATTCCTTCATTCTTTGATGCTCGTATCAGATTTCACAGGGTCTTTCTTGATTTCAACTATTCATTCTCCTTCTATGTAATTTTGTTATTATTTTTAATATGCAGGGTAAGGGGAGTAGTGTTATGAGTTTGAATGATTATAAATTGGATTTTTCGTTAGTGGGTTATTTAATGACCAGAAGATTGACAAATGTTTAGATGCTTAATATTGTGATTTTCTTCCCAAAAAAAATAAAAATGAAGCACTCATGGCAACACCAACTAATTCTACTGATTTTAATTGAACAAGCACTCATGGCAACACCAGCTAGTCGCTTGATTCAGAATGAGAATCTCAATATCCCCTCTAACATATTGCTGTCTTGTATAGGTGCTACTCGTGGGCTTAAGATTGATGTCGTCAAGGCAAATAAGAAAGCAGGGGTTGGTGCAAGAAAAGCTCTTAATGACATATCAAACTTGAGAAATTCTACCATGCTACAAATGAAGAAAGATCTCACTCAGTATTTTGAAAACTTTGTCTGTCCAACGAAGAAACGATGTCCAAATTGTGGCGAGGGCATCAAGAAGTGTATGGAGGTCGAGAGAAAAACAAAAAAATTGGGCGACTGCTTTATTGCTGCACCAATTATCAAACTTCATTTTTTTTAATCGGCCAGTCACGTGTAGTGGCTTTGTTCTGTTATTTTGAACAATTATGATGTTTAATTTGTGTTGTGACACAATGTTGGGTCTCAACAGTGTTGTTGTAATTTTAATATCAAATAGTAATTCGTATGTTGTAATTAATTGGTATGTATTATTTTGATGCATGTCTCGAGCAGTTTCCTTCCATAAATAAGAGCGGCGAATCGTTATGAGCATGTATAGTTTCCAAACATTATGAGCAACACCGTATGGTCTAGTATGTTTAAGTTCCGAATAAGCTAATAAGATAATTAAATTCGTTACATAATTAAAATTTGTTCATTCCACAGACTATATGCAAGTTGCTAATCCTCTTTGACTTCTCTTCCATCAATCTTGCATTGTAGGGGATTCCATTCGCGTCATATAAAATAGGTACTTGAACCCCAGGAAATACCATGTTTGTTCCATCGTGATAAGTTAACTGTGGATAGTAAGGCATGGCATAGCCTAACATAGGAAATACAACATCAACAAAAGTGGACAAAATGATCTTCTTTGTTAGTGTGTAGTGTACAGTGTTATGTTACCTTCGAGCTGCGGTTGCACATTTGTCGTCGATTGTGATATCAAAGTTGAAGATGTCACATGCTGTATGAAGGCCTGACTATCCTTGCCACCCTACATGAGTTAATAGAAAAGTGAGTACAACTATGTTATAAGGTTTCCAAACCTTTGATAGAAGTCGATGTTGCCTGCAAAAATAAACGAATAATACTTGACGAGTCATACGTATGTAACAAAACAATGAAACGGAAATGTACCTTTGTTTTTTTCGAACGCGACTCCAATGGGCTTTTCTTGCGGACTTTCTTTGGTGCGCCCTTCCTTTTTGGAACATTTAGGGTCTTGTACGTTTCCACTACTTGTGTCATTTGATTGCTTGGACAGGAGATTGCTGGAAGTAATCGATTTAGTAATTGACATCTCCTTAGATTGCACTCAAATCCAATCTAGTGGCTCACGAGTTCGATCTTCATCGTTCGCGACAATGTCTGCCAATGTAATAAACTCTTCAACAAGATTATCGTATCTCAATTGTTCAGGAGTACAAACCAGACCAGCATAACTCACCGCAACCCTCGTTTGTGCTCTTCTAATATCCTTTCTCCATCTCCGCCATATATACCTCTCCGGCAGTGAGGTTATGGCATTACGCATCAAGATTGAAATGGCGTGTCTGCATAATATTCCCCGGAACTCAAGGAAGTGACAGCTACAAATAATGTGGCAATCATCCATACGAAATGAGACCGAACACTTTTTTCGATGCACTCGTTCGTCGAAAATGACATCCTCCATCACCTCATATGTCGTCCCCATATATCCATCAGTTTTAGAAATTATGTTACAATAAACTTTTTCAGTTATCTCCTCCTAAAATTCTTTGAACTTAGAAATGGTATAAAGGATCTGAAATTGCTTTTCCATCACATATTTCATTGCACAAGGCACCATTTGTGAGTAAAACTTAAAATCTGCTTGGAACTCTTTCTCAACCTTATTTCGTAGAGCTCGTTCATATTGCTCAACAAACTGCTTCAATGATGTCTTCGAATTCATATATCCATCGAAAAATGTATTCATACTTTCACTGCGTTGTGTCGTTGACATACCAGCCGAAAAAGTGGTATTCAAATAGCACGGGACCCAACGACCTCTGTTCTCATACAAGCTTGACAACCATTCATTGTTATTTAAATTATGGGTATCAGTTGTCATTGTCCATCCTCGTTCAAATTCTTCAGTAGACTGTGAGTCATATACTAATCTATGGATAGAGGCAAAAATAGAGCCCTTTTCAGCATGATATCCAAACTTTTCTGGTAATTTCTTTAATATGTACCATAAACACCATCTGTGTTTAGTGTTTGGAAACACAATCTGAATTGCATTCTGCATTGCCCTATCTTGATCAGTGATAATTCCATTAGGAGCTTTGCCGTGCATGCACTACAGCCATGTCTTGAATAACCACACAAAGGTATCATTATCCTCGTTCGATAGCAAACCACATCCAAGTAATGTTGATTGTTCGTGATGATTAACTCCAACAAAAGGGGCAAAAAGCATGTCATATTTATTGGTGAGATAAGTGGTATCAAATGTGACTACATCCCCAAACTCCTTATACGCTTGTCGGCACCTATTACCTGCCCAAAAAACGTTCCTCGGCCACGATTCTTCGTCTAAATCCATACAAAAGAAAAGCCCCAAGCACTTTGCTTGCATTTGTGCAAAGTAGGCTTGTATTGTTGCGGCATCCCTTTCGCCAAGCCTCAATCACCTCACCTTTTCAACATAGTTTCGATAATCCTTTTCTACATAGGTTATGTTCTCATATCCCCCCGCTTCAACAACTGCGGAATTGCAACTCTTGTGCAACGGAATTCCCGCCACATTATTGACTTCAAGCTTCCGTTTCACTTGTGCACTCAATTCCCGATTGCATCGATACAACCTTGATTTCGAAGGACTTGTTTTATGATTATGATCGAGATGGACTATGCAAATTCTCCATGTTCCATGAATGTCTGAAGCTGCAGTGAGTCTTGCTTTACGACCTGTTTGAATTGTTGGTTGCGGTTTCAAAGTAGAATTTGTACTATAACTTCTTTTGCCGTCACGACTACATGTCAATGTTACGTAATTCACTACTCCATCATCTCCCTTTTTCGAGTTCCTTTTCCTCATCGGAAACCCTTTTTCATACGCATATCTTTTGTAAAAGTCAAACAGTTCGTTTTCGTCCTTGAACTTCATTCCCGGCTGCGGCTCAGTTGCACCATCTCCCCGTATGACATCTTTTTCCAACGTTATGACATTATCATTAGTTGATTCTACTATGGCGTCATCCTCCAATACAGTTACTATTTCTTTTCCTGTGACAACATGAAGGTGCAGCATTCAGGAAAACATCAACATATCACACCTTTAGCCTTTTTAAATAAGTAATTTCATATTCATGCAATTGTTAATTTCAGATTACCACATCATTAATTTCAGATTTATGGGAAAAAAATTGACATTTATGGACTACTTCTCAATCGATTCTTATACATTACCCATGGTAGTTCAACTATTTTATGGAATCTGAATTCTTACAACACAATAAGTACAAAACAAGTCCTGCAAAACCTATAAATTACAAGCATGAAGGCGTTTACCTTTCTCTGTCATCGTTTGGAGAAGTCCGCTTTCGATACCCGTTGCTCTATGACATTTCCCTGTTGCCCGGTGTTTTGCGGTTGGTTGATAGGAAAAAACGCAGTGGGTTTTCGTCGATTTTGGTGTAAATGCAAACGTACACTCCCACCATAGTTGTTCTTATGGAGAAAATCGTTGATTTGGGTATAGATTCAAACACATTGCTGTTAGGTTTTATGCAGAAGAAAATCGAGGTAAATTTCCGTTCGATTTGGGGTAAACAATCGGGGTGAATTTGGGCCGCTTTTTACTGTGGGTATTAGGTGGAAAATGAAACCCTGTATTGCTAGAATGGGCCGGATATAAGGGTAATGAAAAATGGAATGTTTTGCCCTAATAAGTTTTCCCGCCAGATTTTGAATTAATGTAAACCACACTGTCAGCCCACAATGTATAACCAGCATTATTGTTGGATATTTATATAAGGGCAATTTTTTTTTTTTTTTTTTCAAGAAGTCCCCTTTTGCGGTTATGTTTAATTTTTGTCAAAAATATATTTCTTATAAAAGGAAACTTCATGCATGTGAGTTACAATCTGTAATATCAATTGAAAATGAGTTTTCGTAGTTAGTTCACCTTCGTTAAATTGCAACTTTCGATCAAATGGTAAGAGAGTTATTTTGACAAATATTTAGTTCAGCTAAGTTACTTTATCAATTAACGGTCTCGGGTTGAAATTAGGAATTTATCGCTGGGGCTTAAATTGACTTTACCTTTTTTAGGTTATTTTCAGGTTATATATTTTTGGAGTGATACTCGTCGTGTGAATCCGGCATGGCAATAGAGGAGGAAGAAGGTAGTTCGTGAGGTTAATGTTAGGAAATAAAATCAATTGAGACAATATATATGATACAATATGAAGTATATGAACGCAAACAAATAATAAGATAAAAGGTAAAAATTTAATTGATAGAGGAATAGAGTATTTTATTGAGTTGATGAATATGAAAAAAAAATAAAAATAACCGTGTCTACATAATTATTTAATATTTTAGTAATATCAGATTAGTAAAACGAGTCTAATATTTATAGAGGTACATGTCAAATCCTAAAAATACTACAAAAACGAAAACAAGATCAAAATAATGTGCAATAATAATTATTTTCAATAAAAACGCGTAAATTTAAGGAAATAATATTTTTTTTTTCATTAAAAGCTTGTGTAATGAAGGAGGCAATATTTTTTTCCAAAAAATCCAACCTGATTTGGGTAAAAAAAAAAAAATAATAATAATCTAACAACTCCACCTTGACACAAATTTCGACGTAACGAACGAAGCCCCAAAATTTTTCCACTTGAAAAAATATATTCAACTACAACGAAAAATTAGAACTCTTCAACAAGAACTAAACTGTCTCTAACACAAATATACTCACCCTTTTCCACAGTATCCAATACAGATATATGAACCCAAACATCAGATTTTCCAAAATTTACAAAGAATTATAAATTAGCAAACAGTGTCAAAACACACAAAGTAGTAGAATCAACTCCCAATACTTTCATAAAAGGCTCCTGGATAGTCTCAACACCTTCAAAAATGCTGAAAGAATATGCAACCGAATCAACATTCATGTACCTATCTCCAATGGGTCTATCCCTAATAGTTAAATACGATGAAATTACTCATATCCTCCAAACTCGACTGAATAGTATTTTCCCATATGGACTCTGAACAAAATCCAAAAGTACAGTACCAAACTGAATCTCCACTATGGTACTAGATCTATGCTAACTTTTCTTCGCAAATTCTGTTCGACCTTGCAAGATGTATAATTGAACATTTTCCATCCCTCCAATACAATATGAACATCCTTCCGAACTCTCAAGACTCTACCTCCTCTAGAGAACGTGCATCATTTTGAATCAAGAGTACTTAATGAAATGATATTTTTCTTCTTCAAGTCTGGAATATGTCGAACATGATGAAGTGTTTTACATGCTTTATCCACTAATTTTAATCTAACTCTAACAATATCAACTAATCAACCAAGTTCGTTGTTTCTCGTGACAATGACACATTGCATCACAGTTTCATATGTTTTAAACAATTTTCAATTAGGAAACATATGGAATGTACAAGCTGTATCCAAAACCCACTCCTCGTCAAATTTGGATTTCATGTCAGAAATCGTCAAAACATCTCCATCACTCAAATAGTTATTTGTTGTATTAGTCTCATCTGAAGTGTTCGATTGCTTCCCATGATTTGCAATCAAATTACTTTTGTTCTGCAATTTGTTGCAATCCATGTTGAAGTGTCATTTCTTCTTGCAGTAATAACAAACCCAATTACCAAAATTCGACCTCAACTTACCCCTTCTACGATCACCATGAACAATAATGCCTTCTCCATCTCTGGCCTTAGATCCAACTAGATGCGCCATATTTTATTTTGGAAACAAGGCATCAAACACATCTTCAATTTGAGAGTAACATGATTATACAAGATTGTGTCTCTACATGAAGTAAATGAAGCGGGTAGGGAACACAAAAGGATTATAACCAAATTTTCTTCACCATACATTATCTCTAAAGTCTCCAAATTGACGATGATCTCCTTGAACACAGTCGGAAGACATTCCAAATTATAAGCATCCCGTGTCAAAATGTGTTCGATCTTATTCGTATTCACAATATTGTTAGTCTAAGACAAAACACACAAAGAGAGAGAGAGAGAGAGAGAGAGAGAGAGAGAGAGAGAGAGCAGTTTATTCACAGAAATTGTAATTACAGCTAATACATCTCCAATTACTTCTGAAAATGACAGCTTTATATTTGATAATTAAGTGAATAAAAATAATAGATTATTATTTTTTCTTCGAGATAAGTTGACTTAATTTAAAAGGAGAACATGGACTTGATTGAAATGCATATGACGTTCCTAAATGTAAGATGCTTAGTCTCTATCTCTTGTTCGTAGTACTTAAATCAAGATTTATGTGGAAATTCTTTAATTTTTTCACCATAAAATGTATGTATACATCTTTGTATCATATTTTCATTTGAAACTCATATAATACGCATCTAGTAACTGTCTAATTATGATATTACATATTAAACACACTTCTCATTAATGTTGAAATTTTTTGTTATTTTAAATGTTTGGATGTTTAGACTTTTTATCAATTATTAAGTGACCACTTAAGTTAAATATTGGCTAGTCTTGTGATTGTCGGGTCCGAGGCGAAGTCCAAAAATTAAACCCCCCAAAATCAACGTAAAATGCAAAATTCAACAGTAATAATACAACCTATTGCTAATGTAAAACTTAACATTAAAACAACAAAATATTGTAAGAAATATAAGTATTTGAAAAACAAACATTCAATATCTTCAAATATTGTAACACTTCGAGTAAATTTAATGAATCCTTACTGAACTTTAAAATTATTACTACTTACTTATTGAACTTTAACGGGTTATCCAATACTCACTCATCTTCGTATATAATTATCCGTCCACCACTATTTTAACTATCATCTCTCCAAATAGACAGAAACTACACGTACATAACAGAAAACATTCGACGTGGCATATTGACAGTATTAATTATGTTCTAATCACCAAAAACACACCAAACAAACACACCTTTACATTATTAGCCTAAATCTAAATCTTATAATCAAAAGCCCCAAACTACTTGATCAGATGTTCAGCTTCTGAGCAAGTTTCCACATAAAAATGAGGTCGGAGTGGTGGTGCTGCTGTGGCAACGGCCAAGTTAATGAGGAGGAAGGAGAACAGAGCGGTGGGAGGCATTTTTGCTACTAGTTTGGTCAGTGTATTAAGTACTTTCACTAAAATGGTCCTAGAAAACTAGTTCTTCTTAATCTAGTTTTGCATATCTGATGCAGGGTGAGTAATTCAAATAAGATAACAAGAAGAGGTGAGGGAGGGGGAGAAGAAGAAGAAGAACAGGGACAGAGGGAAGAAAGGAGGAAAAGGGTGACAGCCACTTCATTATTTAATCAAATTCATCAATTGAAAAATAACAATGTAAAATAGGTTTAAATACTGAAAAATACTGCAAACCTAGGGCCAAGCCCAATACACAAGTCCATAAAATTAAAATAACCTAAGTCCAACTAAAATAATTAAAACTGGACTGGGATGTCCTCATCAATTCTCCCGGGGTGGGAGAGAAAACTCGACCCTGTCGAGTGGCTATATAACCATAGGCTGAGTGGTTGGGCAAGCTTCTTCCGGCGTCTGTAGAAATGCGTTAATGGCGGTCTGAGCCTGGTGTCCTCATCAACTCCTCTCGGGTGGACGGGAGGTGATTTGGGCCAATGAAGATCCTGCTGACTCCGATAAAACTCTAACAAATCTGGGTCCAATTGCTATAGTGTCTCCCTGGAGATCCATGCACAGTCACAATCTGGTCGACCAACCCAACGAACAAGGAAGCGCTGAACCTCTCCATCATTAGTGAACACAATTTATTTATCTAAAATAGTATCAAATTTTTCTTTGTGTGCTGTGAGAGGTGGTAGTGGGTTAGAAGGGGTCAAAGAATCACGGTCAAGGTCCACAATAGGAGATGACAGAGGATCATCTGAGGGAATGAAATGGCCTTTATAAGCTACAAGGTCCTCAACATTGAAAGTAGAGTGATAACCAAGGTGTGGTGGAATGTCAACAATATATGCATTTGGACCAACCTGCTTTAAAATTTTAAAAGGACCAGCACTACGAGCTTGCAATTTAGAGGCGGGTCCATGTAAACGCCGCTCTGGCCTAATGCGAACCATAACGTAATCCCCAATGTTAAACTCAATATGTCGTCTGTGTAAATCAGCTTGGAGTTTATATTTTGCATTACTAGCTTCAAGTTGTTTATTGATCTCAATATGCAAGT